TATATATATATATGTATATATATATGTATGTATATATATATGTATAGGTACATAGAAAGATATAACCAAATTATACCAGTTCTTGGCCAAACACAATTCTAGTATCAGAAAAGCTTCACCAAATACTTGCAAATCAGTATTACTGGGAGATTATTACCATATGACTGGGGGAATAAATATCCATTAATCAGATATTTTAGGGTTCCTGCGGAGCCATGGTTGTGACTCACAGCCAAATAAAACCGGAAAACATTGTTTACTGTATACGAACAAATTTAGAAACATTGCCAAATCAAGTTAGGAATGGTTTGCTACTTACTTGTGCTTAGCAGGGAATTTTGGGGAATGATCCACTGGCTAATAATCAGTAATCATCCCATCAACCCCCAGCAACCCATCCAGACACCCTACGTAAAACGCACCAGTAAGATTATATTGTATACACCATTACCAGTGGGTTAATCACCATTAAATCACCATTAATATCCCTATTAACCATATATTAACCATATATTAACCATATATTAACCATATATTAACCATATATTAACCATATATTAACCATTCTACACCAACAGTGAACAACAACCGGTCCCCTTTGTGCGGTCCCGAAAACCTTCAGACTCCGGCGCCGAAACTCTCAGACTGCCCTTGACACTGAGATTTCGAATCTCCGCATCAACCTCGTCGATTCAACGGCCAAAGGTATGCTATGTATATAGATATATATATATATATGTGTGTGTGGAAAATGCCATATGTACAGTATGTGTATGCATATTATTATAATGCAAATACATATCCTAACACAATAATACGTAACGCAATATATATATATATACATATATCATGTATACAATTTTTATGGGCTCTACATGGATTACCCTCTGGTAAACTAATATAACTATGGAAAATCACCATGCTATTAATGGGTAGATCAGCTATTTCTATGGCCATTTTCAATAACAAACTGTTTGTTTACCAGAAGGTCTATGCCCACAACGTCCTCCGGAAGCCTCACCTCTAGGCCCGCTTCAGTCCATGTGGCGCCAGAAAAATCGATCACTGGCGCGTGCAGCGCGGAGACGTCGCCCAGGCCCAAGTTAATCCCGAAGCCCAAGCTCACCTCGTTGGAAAATTGCAGATAATTGAGGGGAAAATAGTTGCTGAATGGATGTTTCAACCAAAATATGGAAACAATAAGTGATGAATACGTGATTTTTCGATGTTTATACTGGTTGGTTAAGAACGGGATTCCCCGTTCATGAGATGTGATAACCCCCTATATCATGGTTAGTATAATCCCCAAACATCAATCAATGGAAGTCTGAAAAAGACTGCTCACCTGGAGAAAAATTGCAGAAAGTTGCATGATGTTCATTTCATTCATGGGATTACCCTCTGGTAAACTAACATAGCTATTGAACATGGCCCATTTAGTTCGTTGATTTACCCATTAAAAATGGTGATTTTCAATAGCTATGTTAAATTACCAGAGGGTAAACCTGCAATATGAAAAGAATGCTGGGTTTCCTGCTGTTTTTTTTTGTGGTTGCCGTGGATTCCACAGACAATTTTTAAGACACATCCAATGTGTCTCCCCAAAATCTCAAAACTCGGTGGTTTTCACGGCAGGGTTGTTTCAATGGATTGGTTTTCACGGGAAAATTTACCGGAAAGCCCCATGATCTTCATGGGAAAATCTAGGGTTTCCGGTGTAGATTTTCCCAACAAAACCAATCCATTGATTGTTAGATAAACTTCTACAGTTCGGCAGTTGAAACTGCCGATCTTCTACGTGAAAAATGGAAAGTCAGCGAAGATCATCGGATGGTGGATGTAGGGGATGGAATCACATGGGAATATACATGGAGGTGATGAAAAAAATGGGGGATGGGATTCTCTGAAATATTCCGTTGAAAAAAAATAATGGCAAATCCAGATTAATCAACCATGGTTTATTCATTTATGGGGGCGCCCGAAGAATACAAATAGTTAGTGATAATTGTATAATACTTAATTGGTACACCCCCCTTTTTAACAGCCGCTTGGGCAGAAAAATCCAGGGTTGACACTGCTTGCATTGACACAGTCACCGTGTGGCCCGGGATCAGCGGCGCTTCAATGATTTTCTTAGCCACAAAATCCTTGCTCTGAGCCAAGGCAAAGTTCAAACCGGCTAAGGTGGCACGCATTTCAGCGTTTGGGGGTCGGAAATCGCTGGGAACTATGGAAGTGGTCGGACTCGCAGTACTTTGACTGCTCGAACTCGTTGAACTCGTTGAACTCGTTGGAACCAGCGCCCTAGCGGCGGTCTGGAGCAAGGTCGAATCATCACAGATGGATCCGGCCGAGAGCTTTGGGGCCGTTTCTGACGAAACCAGACAGGAAAGAAAGGCCAGCACACAGTGGATCCATTGCATCTTCGGTGAAAAATCTTCGGTTCGGTTTGTTCAGGTCCTTGAGCCGCAAATGGCACAACTGAATGTTCAAGGTGTCGAAATATGGTTGGATTATGTTGGATCTGAATGTGTCGGAAATCCACAAAAGTTACCGTATATGTTTGAATCACGCACCAAAAAAACAAAACTGTTAATTTACATGAACAAACGAAGATTCAATGAGTGGAATTCTCAAACATCAGTTTTAAAAAGGAACAGACTACAGATTGATTGTTGGGATTGTTTAATGATACTCCCAAGAAGCAATCCCCGATCCTACAATCAAACCCCTAACTTGGAGCTTGCACCAGCCGCAAGCCACCACCTTCAACCTGCGGAGCTGTGAAGCTTACACTCCGCAAAATCTCTGGAAAGTTGGGGCGTTCCGAGATCGGCGAGATCGGAGATGCCATGGATACAGAAGAAACCTGCTGAACTTTGCAGGTCAGAGTTATACCCACAACATACCAGTAGAGAGCCCGGGCAAGCCGGGTGATGGAAGTTTCCAAGGCGGGGAAGTCTAGAAAGAAAAGGGAAAGCCTATAGGAACGATGCCAGACCGCCTGGTTGTCACAGCCGTTGACTATGTGATCTCTTGGAAGACTTTCTTCTTGACATCCTTTTCTGATGATGTCACTTTCTCTTGATCCGGTTTGCCCTGGTCATCTTTGAAAACGGAGTTTAGACTTCTAAACTTCCTTTGGTAATATGTTATCATCTAGATTAATATATTGCTTGAAACAGTTGAGCTTTCAACAAATGGGGCTGGGTCAAAAGGACAAAGTCAAAAACCCTGAATTGGGTGGAGTAAACCATCCCTAGTGGCCTGAACGCGCCGAAAGAATGAAGCTATGACTTGGGGCTTCGGGACGGTGAAAGAAATTGGTGTTTAATAAAGCCATGATAATGGGAAAAAAAGTAAGTTGGGGTGGTTTAACGCCCATAACTATGGTGAAATATATGCTCAGCTTCATTCAAACTGCAAACTGCACTGAATTTTGTGTAGCCACTGATTGGAAAGTCACGGAAGCGGATGGATAAAAATGGACCAAACAATTCTACCAGAAATTCAACCCACATGAGCAGTGCCCCCTATCTACTGGTTGGTTGAGAACAGGCTTCTCATAGCGGGTAGGTGGAATAAGCTCCTATTTCACGAGTAATCAACTAGAAAAACCATACTTGGGGGTGCAGTTCCAGTGAATTAAGTGGATACAAACATGGTTATAGATCCCAACATGGGGCTTAAAATCCCATAGATATACCATCTGGTTATGACTAACATAGCCATGGAAAATCACCATGTTTAATAGGTAAACCATTGGTATTTCTATGGGCCATGGCTTCCATGGCTATGGTCCATAGATATAACCTGTTCTTCCCCCATTCTTCCTCCCAACTGCAACCTGAAGTACTCCATGACTTATCTGGCCACTGCTCATCCACCTTCGTCTGATTAATCCCTAGGGGTAGACACACCCAACAACACATGGGTTATACCACCAAAAGTCATTCAAAAATACCCAATCTTCCTTCCCCAAAAAATTCAAAAGTCACCAAAATCCAACAAAATGGCCTAGATACCCTTCGGAAAGCTAAGATAGCTATGGAAAATTCCCATGATCTATAGGTAAATCAACGAACTCAATGAACTCAATAGCCATTTTTCAGTACCAGAGGCTATCCATCGGACGCCTGCAATGGACTGGGTTGCTCAAGTTGCCCAGATCTTGGCGAATCAAGATGATATCAGGATAGCGTGGGAAAGGGATATCAGGATGCTAATTTGGGTATATATTTTGGATATATATTGGATATGTTTGGGGATATCTTGGGGATATCAGGATATTGATCTTGGGGATATTGGATGAACGTCATATCCCAGTAGATATTGAATCTGTACTGGGATATGACGTTCATCAACAGCTACCCCACAATCCAGTGGTCTATCATCATTGTCCTTATTCAAACTATGTTAACCAAATATGGGGAGATCTTGATATTCAACCATGGGAATGTAAACCCTACATGGAGATTTAACCACCACAAATTAGGAGGTTCCGAAGTGAGATATGATATCATATATATATATAACTATAATTGGTATACAATCAAGAAATTTGCCTGGCTGCTTCAAACAACTGGGAGTGTTCCGAATGTTCCAAGGGGATACTCCTTAAAATTGCCATGATGTTTACGATACGACAAAACCCCGATCCACGGTGCTCAGCTGTGTGTTCAGACGAAACCACAAAGCAAGCATGTATTTAGTGGTAAAATCCATGGAAAACAAACAAGTCATCCTGAAAAACATTAATATGTGCAATGTCCTGTTTATTGGTTCCCACACTGGCGAGTTCATAAGGTTTTCATCAGGTTTTCTATCGGTCAGAGAATTTATTGTAACTAGGTAGAATAACTCCTATCTAAGATCTACCAAATCAGTAGTTTGGACATTCCATGACACCTGCAACATTCAGGAGATTCTCAATAAATACATAGTGTCAATACTGAACGAGGGTGTATAGTGTTGAGAAGGGATTGTCAATTTCAATGGCGACTGTTTACTACAGTTTACTAGCTACTAATGGGATATGTATGGGACGTGTTTGAAACAATGAATGATTGAGAATCCCACCAAAAAGAACCAATAGTTTCGCTACTGTTGTGGCCATATATAAAAGCTATAACTGGTTATAAATAAGATTATACATTCCATAAATGGGGGTTATAAGTACCATCTGGTTCTGACTAACAGTTTGCCATGGAAAATCACCATGTCTAAGTTCGGTAAACCATCTATTTCTATAGGCCATGGCTTCCATGGCAAACTGTCAGTCATAACCAGAGGGTACCGGGCTGGCCGAATCGTGGATTGCGTACTACGGATCTACTGATCTTCGTCCTCGGAATTGCTGGGAAAATACACGAAAACCCTGAATGTAATGGTTGAAAAGCCATGGGTTTCCTGTAGATTTTCCCTTGAATCAATCTATGCAAACTGAACAGTATGGATGATGAAAACCAAGTTTTCCTTTTGCGATGTTCCCCTTGTCCCATTCTTCCCAAGAGAAACATAGGAAATCATGAAAAAGACAGTCGTTTTCACACAGAACACTGGTTGGTGGCAAACCTACCCCTCTGAAAAAATGATGGAGTTTGTCAGTTGGGATGATGACATTCCATTCCCCAACTGTTTCTGGAAAGCCAATCCAAATTCCATGGTTCCAAACCAACAACCAGAATATTGTTATATGACTATTGTATATACCCTCTGGTAATTTAACATGGCTATTGAAAATGGTCCATTTATATGGCAAAAAAAATGTTTCAAACCACCAACCAGAACATCTTAGAAAATCATCGAAAGTCGTGTCCTTTTGGGCAAAACGTCACCCTTCGTTGCCATCGAAAACAGCGATGTAACGCGACTGGGGCTTTTGCTCCGGAAAGGCGGCCTGAAAAGCCTCTGCCCCTGACCAAACAACGGCAGAGAAAAGTGCCAGGATTCAAGCCATCCAAAGAAAAATGAGGAGTTCATCATCATTTACCCTCTGGTGAACTAACATAGCAATGGAAAATGGCTATTTATAGTGGATTTTCCCATTAAGAATGGTGATTTTCCATTGCTATGTTAGTTCACCAGAGGGTAACCATGATTTAATAGGATTTAAACTCTGATTTGATGGGACTTGGTGGAATCTCAGTGACCATGGTACTGATGTGGTGTATTCCAATTAGAAGCACCCATCATTTGGTTGGGAATCTATAGTTGGTGGGAATCTAATCATTAACTCATAGTTTTTTTAACCAGCGACTTTTTGTGGAATATGGAGTTTATAGATGTTTATAGCAACTTCCCCCAACCAAAATGATGGGAATATCATGGGAATATAATGTCAAAGGGGAAATGATGGGAATCCATTTTTGGACAAATTCCAGTGACATCCCACTTTTGTTTATAATGGGCTAATGATGGGAATGTAAGGGGAATATAACCATGATCGGATATTAAGAGGAATATGAATGGGCTGAATGGGGATATAATGGGACAATAATTATTCCTTTCAATATTACACTCCAGTGTCATCAAACACGGCTAGGAAATTCACCATTTACGGATGCTCCCATTGAATCATATAGAATTTCTGATGGACCATTTGCAATAGTTTCTGGTAAATGTTTTTTTCGTTTCTTCGTCAGAAATGTCTTAGATTTTGTTTTCACGTTTTGCCATGTTTTGCCATGGATTTCGTCAGAATTTTGCCACATGTTGCCATATTTTGCCACAAGATTTTGCAACAATTCGGTCAGAATGTCGTTGGACCTTGAGTTGAAGCGTGATGAAGCACGGTGGGATTGGCCAGCTGCCTTGACTTGATGAGTGCTCCAGTGTCTTCTCCCGACCATAAGAAGGCTCGGGCTGATGGCTATGGTCCTCCTGGCGATTTCGGTCGTGCGGCAGCGCCTTCAGATGGTCGCGTCATGGCTCTTACTCCTTTGGAACTGACACGTTTGGTGTTGACCCATGACCGTGACCTTCGTCAACTGCAAGCATCCTTGTCCCTGGTGCTGAAGTATGACATCGAGAACTCTTTGGCTGCTTCACTGCTGACGGCTACTAAACATTGGCAGCAGCAACACACTAGTGGCCGACCACACCCCATGGGGGCTTGCGGCACTGCTGTTGGCACTGTCTTGCTCCAGCAGCTGTGCACACATGGTGCCGCTGTGCACAAAGACCGTGACAGTATTTTGTTGACTGCCTTGGAGGGCTTGCTGTCCAACCCTGAGCCAAGTTGATTTGCAAAGAGATTTCATTGTGCAGTTGTCGATTGAACGCAAAGAAGAGTGCGGCGATCCTTGAACTTCAAATCAATCAGGCTTCTATCCTTGCTCCGTTTCAGTCCGTGATTCGAACTTACCTTGAAGAACTGCAGGGTGAGCTTTTGGGCCAGCGCCCGGTTGGAGCTCTGGCGCGAAAAGCTCGCAATCAACATCTTTGAGCTCCAGGACTTTTTGCATGACAGGCT